ATGCTGTATTGGTGCTTGGAGTCCATTATTATCTGGACACTGTATAGCTACAGCATGCAATATTATCACTAAAATATGATCAATTTTAGAACAGATTTGTGAGTGTGTTTATCTGATCTATATAAAGAATTACACAGCAATGCAATTTTGGTTATTGGAGAAAAACCTTACAGGTTACATTCTGTTTAACCAACTTCCTCTGCAGAATTAATTCTGCCTAATGCTTTAAACTCTACACTGGCCTGTGCAGTTTTCTTTGTCCTTGAGGAGTGTTAGTATCTTATTAAAAATGTTACAGTTGTTTTAAAATCATATTTCACTTGAGAAATTGTGCTGTTTTTGAATCAATCTGTAATCAGTTGTTGTGAAAAACAACTCAAAAGACAATGAAGAGTTATGCCTTTGGATGCAAAACCTGTTACTGTCCATAGTTTGTGTCACATGACATAAAGGCTGGAATAAATGTAAACCAAAAAATAGTATGATGCATAATTTAGTTTGCACGATGGAGTACGTGCAGAATAGCACAAAGGGTGTTTATTTGGAGGTGGTATATACAGAACTTCTACAAATTTGTGAATAAAAATATTTTCTTTCATTTGGTAAAGCATTTGCACTGTTGCTATTGAATGCTACATTTTGTCGCTGTGACGCCGGCTCTGTTTTTTGTTACACAAACTACTGATGTGCCATTTGTTAAGCTCAGAATACCTTTAAAATAGATTGAACATTATTTTAGTTTTTACTTTAGTGTCTAATCGAGCGCTCAATATTCTCTAATCTGGAAACCTAGCAGTATATTATTCAGGTCTTTTCCCTGACAGCATGCAAGTGTAAACACAATGTTAAAAGTAATATTTTTTGATGGTATAAAACTTGAAGCATTGTATGCCTTAAAGTGTACTTGTCATGGTACACACAAATTGGTCTTAAATTAAAGAGCATTACATATTATCTCTACATTGTCTTAACAGAAATGTTAGCAAACATATAATTTCCTATTTAATTACACTTAATATTGGGTCCCTTCCCACCTTTAAATCAAATCTTCATCATTAAGCCCTGTGTACAGAGTGCTATCACACCCTTACACCTCCAGCAGGTATCACTCACAATTGGTGAGAGAGTATGGGCTGCACTGATGCCGAAGTACTGGTAATAAAGCCAGCTTCTTATTGGAGTTTAGCACAGAGAATGGACATGGTTGACAAAGTGTCCCCAGGCAGGACCAATCGTAGCTGGTTGGGGGAGGCAACAGAGTGCAGGTTTTTCAGTACTGTAACACCCACGGACCTACAAGAAATGGTGGCGCTGGTGGTAAGTGATGCCAAAAGCACAAAAATAGATAATTTATCTGTATGACAAGTATCGTTGGGTAATTCCAACTCTTTACGTGCAGCCATTTAAATGATAAATGCAGGAGAAGACAAGTCTTTGGAGCACTGATACTCTTAGTCAGAAATACTTAAGTTTTGCACCAGTGCTAATGAGATCACTATAAAACTGTAGCAATGTGATAAGTATGACATGTGGTTAGTTTTTTCTTATGAACACATATTGCACATATGTGGAGAAGAGGGTGAGTGTTTGAAGGTATTAATGCATGCTGTTGCTGCTTTGTGCACTACTGATCATCAGCAAAACACGTCAGGAACACACCGACCCAAACGGTCCTTTGATCTGTTGCCCGCTACTGTCCCATGACCTACTAGCTCACTCTGTTGGGCTCGTCAGGTCATCGCGCTCAGGAGAGAAGAGATGAGAGACACACAGGTAAAACCAGCTGCAGACCAGCCAAAAACAGTTGAGGAAAAGCATTGCTTATTGCAAGATTTAGTGGTGTAGGTTAATAAACACTGTTTTGTGAACGTCTACATGATTTTCTTTAGCATATTTATGCCACAATGTAAAATATTTTTATGTGACAACATGGCACAGATCTTATGCATAACCGTGCAGCGTTTATAGAAAATAATGCCATTGAGGGTTTCTGGAGACCTTGCATTAAAACCATAAGACCGAAGGTTATTTATGAATGTTTGTAATAATGGAAGGTGGAACTATTTTCCTTAAAATAGGTTTCAGGATTACGTATCTTTTACATTACATGACTGTTTTAAAGTTAGGTTGTTTTACTCTTAGCACAGCCCTGAGGCATACAGGTACCAGGCTGCTTATGATTGATAGTTACACTCCCGATCAGCAGCTGCTCTAATTTATTCAGCACCTCTCCTGGTTTGTTGGGAGAGGATCCTGGGATGTGAAACTAAACTGTTTCTGTCTCCCCAAGAGTTTTTGGCATGTCATTATTAAAAGAAGGTGAACTAGATTTCACTACTTCCAAGTTAAATCTTACTACACTTTCCAGTATGGACGACACCTATTCCACAGGAATAGAAGACTTGAAGAATTATGCAGGGCACGGATACACCTATATAAGGGAATCTCTGTTCTGTACACGCTGCTCCAGTCATTCCAACCAATCCGAACCCGCAAAACATACAGCGCGCTGGGAAAGAGCCACAGGGGTCACGCTCTCCTACCCTCAGTGGATGGAAATCTACATTGACACACCAGAGCTCCATGTGTTTCAAACAACAAGAACTCAACTACAAATTATTTATTGGACGGTACAGAACGCCAGTGAGAATACACTGTGTGCTTCCCGAGGTCTCTGAGATCTGGTGGAGATATGAGGAAGATGTGGGCTCTGATCTCCATATTTGGTGGTCTTGAAGATAACTGAGACAGTGTGTGAGGCACACTCCCTCCATCCGTGGTGGGTCAGGAGATACCGGGACGGCCATCCCCTTTCCTCCCCCCCGTCTCCACACCACATCATGCCCTCCCTCCCCCCATTCCTTTTTTTCTTCTTCTCTTCGTCTCTTGTTCTCTCTTTTGTTTTTTACCCCTCTACCCTCCTCCCTCTTACATACTCTCTCGCCTCCAATATTCTTATGCAAGCTACTATTATGACTCCTCCTGCCTTTGCTGGAAACGTGGTAGCTCACGAGACACCAGTATCAATCGACTCAAGGTAGATCGATGAGAACGAGAGACATAACCGGTCCAGATAACTAACAGACATCCGTATAGCCAATTGACACAATCTACGCAACCCCACTAATGTTCGCTGTCAACTTAGAACAATAGATCGAAGTCTCCTAATTTGCTATGGGCCAAGATTATGTTGCCTACTGTTGAATGTATATCCTAGCAAACAGAGCACTTGTATCCTGATCTCTTCTATAATTGCATTGTTCTTTATATTTCTTAACTCTGTTCGGAATATAAACTTGTAAATAAAGACAGAGGGTGAACTAATAGCAGGCACTACCCAGCAGAGTAGCTCCCTCTAATATTGGGCAGAACGGAACATATATGTCATAGTACTGCACTGAAATTAGGGGCTCTCTTTCTGTGTATTAGTCACAACATGTATTCATCATAACCTACACTAAGTTTAGCTTGCTTAAGTGCTTTAATTATGAAGAAGTTTGTCCTCTTTTTTTATTTTACAAAAATTACAGATTTCAATAGAACCTTGTTACACCCCCAGGGCTCTCAACCAGACTCCAGAGCACCTGCTTTGCAAAGACTTCTTATTGAGCTGCATTGGCATATCTGGGATTGGACAGCCACAGAAAGTCTGGGCTTGGGAAGAAGGGGAGGGCTTGCAAAGGCTGCAGATAAGAAGTCTACAGCTTTTACATGTTCTTTGGAAAAAACAAAAATGCATACTTAAATGCATGCACATTTTCATTGGGGATATAGCTACTAAATAATGAGCTATGTTTTGGTTTTTCTGTTTAGCCAGTGGAGTGTCTCTTTAGGTTGCCTGGGGAGTCCCTATATTGTCAGTGTGCAGTACGTTTGCATTTAAAAGTAAATGTTTGTCTTTTTACCCCTCAGGTGACACTGATGTCTCAAAAATCGATTGTTCAAGTGTCTAAAGCCAAGAAAAGAAAGGCAAAGGGACTCTTCACATAACATCTCTAGCTTGGAAACAGAGCGAGAAGACATGGAAACCTCTATCCTTAAATCTCTCTCTCTCTTTTTTTTTTACCCAGTGTTGGTATAATTTAAATAATTGAAGATAGTAGCATTAATATGGTGCTGAGGTTGTCTTTCATTCGGTCATCTGTAACACAAGGTAGAACTTCTTAAGATGACACCCTCCAGTTGAAAGCACATCTCCCATCATCTCTATCCAACCACAGAGTGACTGTGAATGAGTCGTAGTCTAACAACAACTGAGGAAGACCTTATAATTGTAACAATATTTTGTCAATCTATGTAACAATGCATGTTCATTGCAGGAGGCTTTATGTACGTGTCTGCAGCGTAATTTTTATCACAATTTGGGGTTTTTCTGTATTACAGTTTCTTGGGTTTAAACAGACTTTGCCTCATTCTAAATTATATTTTTTGATGATCTAATTTTTGTATTTTCTGGATATTTTTGTGTCTGTTACAAATACACAGGCTTTCTGTAGATGGGCATTAAGTAATTATTGTTTGAGCGTGTATGAGCAAAGCGTTATTTCTTGATTAATACATATAATAGAGCTTTTTGCTTAACAAGGACGAAAATGTGTTGGAGGTTGAAGTTTCCCTTATATTGTTAGTTTCACAAAAATTTAGGTTGTTCACATGGCACAGTTTAGAACTATCACTTAACGTTACTAAAACAAAGTTCAAAGCATAAATGCTCTCGCAACTTAATTGGCACTTGATGTAAGGGTAGTCATGCTCGCAACATAATAGCAGGTTTAAGGAGTATTAGGGAAGCCACAACATATAATAATTATGTACACTGATGTGTTTAGAACTTGAGTCCTCTTTTCTTTCTTTTTTTTTAGCCCATAAAACTGAAAAATCTGATTGTCTGCCATATCTATAAGCAATATTATTTTAATTAGATATCATGCCTGCTACTGTCTTGTGCTGAGTTTCTTAACTACTGAGTTGGGGTCCATATTTGGGTTCTTGTACTATTTCTGTGAGTCCCCAATGGTTGGATTATGTATTCAACAAACTGGTTACTGTAGCAGCTGTCCCTTCCAAATGGGCCAATATGCTAATTTAAAAATTGAGAGTTTAAAAAGTGCCATAACCAGTACAGCCCACTCTAATGGTTATTTTCAATTGAGCTGATACCACTCCCATGGTCTGGCCTCTCTATACAGATATTGCTCAAGCATAACTTCCCTGCTTTGGTATTATCTTAGAGTCCTCTGACAACAAATTACGTCCAAAGACAAAATTGATATGTTAATGAGGAAAGGAAACTTTTGCTTTAGCAGTATCTGCAAAGAGGGATCAGACTGCAGGCAGCAGATAAATACAACAATGGCATACCCCCAATTGTAGCGTCCTGCGAATCAAGACTCCAATGGGAGATAGGTAAAGAGGGTGTGCCAGTGATGCGATCAGATCACTAGCTCCACCCCTAAAGTGGCATACTTACCTGGAAAACAGGTGGGTCCACCCAAGTTAATGACACGTCAGCTAGGCATGAATGCATGCCAGGCTGCTTGTCAATCATTTTGGCCGGCACACTGAGTGCTAAGCAGCAGGAGCAGGCTCAATAAAACCTCCAGGGTCCTAGTGATAATCATCACGCATTCATGGTTTAAATGTTGAGGATAGCTGGTGTCCCTAAAATTGGACATGCTGAATTCTGGACAGTTGGGAGGCATGCAATGGTCCAATCCAATCGTCCTCATAGAGTAGTATTGAGGACTTGATGCGCATCAAAGCATTCCCATAGGAAAACATTGTTTGTAATGCTTTACAATTAACTAATGCGTCAAGTTTTACTCTGTCAGTGCAGCAAAAGCGCTTCTAGTGGGCGTCAGGAAGACAGCGACTACGAGGTGGCTTAAACCCTGCGTGCAAGCTTTGCAGTTTCTTAGAAAAAAAAAACAAAGAAAGAAAGAAAAGGGACAGGGCCACTCCACTCAGACATTTTCATATAAATTAAGTAATCTGGCTGATTTTAGAGTCCCTTTAATTGCCATTCCTTATCAATTTCCCAGCCACAGAGAAATACATGCACTATCTCAACGGCATGTGAATGGGTTAACAGAGCAAAAGTTATAAATACATAGTTTAACAGTCAGTGAACATCTCCACAAGGGTATAAAGGTTATTTACAACAAATCTTAAAAGGGACCCACGCAGACCCCTCAAGCCTCATGCTCAGCCTTTCTTGATAGGCCCCGCGTGCTTAGAGATTCATCTTCCTAACCACAAAATGATTTCAGTAGCTGTAAGAAAGATATTATAAATATGGTTCATTGTTTCCCCATTAAAGTAAAAAAAAAGTTGCAAATGTACTTTTATTTTTCTAAGCCAGCATCCATTTTTTAAAATTTTATTTTTAAAAGCGGCTAATAATAAGTTATACAGGAGCTTAAAACCTTTTAACGAAATGTGTGTTCCTTCACAGCGGATACATATATTTAATTAACATGAAAAATTAACACAACCTGGGACCTAAGACGGTCTAGTATGTTCCTAGCACTATGCAGAGAAACACAGTGTTCTTTATAAAGAAGGAAACTTTGTCAGAGTGTTGGGTTGTCTACGTGCCTTTGTTGAACCCTGTGAAGATGTCAAAGTTTCAATATATTTCAGTTCTAATGGTTGAGAACATACATCTTCCATGCAAAGGGTAAGTGACCACTCCTGGAAACTAACATACGCCGCAAGACGTGCGCAAATGTCACCGAAAACCAGGGAAATAAATAAAGTAAATTACTGGAGACATTCAGTAACAAGAGAGATGTAAATAAATGTGTGTAGGGTGTGTTTTGGTTTCTGTGTGTACACAGTGAATCCAGGGCAGTAGTTGGCTCTGTTAGCTGTGGTTCCATGGGGTGTGAGGTTGAATACACCCTTCATCAAGTAGTTTGTGGCCGATTTTCAGAACCAGTTTTTTAAGGCCAAAAATACTGAGCATTGTTCATAATAAAATTTAACCGCAATACAGCACCAGCCTGTAAATGAAGTCATAAACCCAAAATATCTATATCTCTCGCTCAGGAACAGGTAGCCTGCAGTTCATACACTGTTGATGACCAACAACTGTCCTAAGCATCTGCTAACCATAGCCTGGAACTAGTTGAGCATATGTGACAATGACAAGTACACAGGGCAAATACAATGGGAGATTAATCTTATCGCAAATTGCAGCTTTTATCTATATCACATGGACAAGAAGTGAGTAATTTGGGCAAGACAGTTGTCAAACTGCAGCTCCTACATGCATCTAAATGCAGACTGCATGGGACAAATTCTGGAAATAAATCTACTGGGAGGGAGATGGATGACAATGCAGACTGCTGCTTCAATCTATCACATGACAAGCACAGAAGGTGGATGTAATGGCAATAAGACTGATTTTATCACAACTGCAACTTTGTATATATCATGTACCAATGCAAGAAGTGGCTGTTTAGGGTAAAAATCTTATGTTATAGAATACAGGTCTGACATAAGTCATATGACAACACAGAAATTGGTCATATTGAGGAGGAAATCATATGACAGGCACACTCAAGAATTTGGCACATTTGGGAAAAAATGGGAGACCATATTTTGCAAAAAGCTCATGCAACAGATGAAAGCTATGATTCAGTTAATAAAACAAGTTCAAAAGTGTATTATCTTGGGAAGAGGGTTTAGAGATTCAAGGAACAGCTTGCAGGTTCATCATGTTACAAACTGTTGTTCATGTCTTTGTCAAACCACTGTGTCTAAATTTGGGCTAAATCACAAGTCTAGCCTAACAGCATAGGGCTAAATACATTAATATGATACTGTAGTTTCGCTTAAGCTTATATATAACTAGTGAAGATATTAAAGTGATAGATGTAAAATAAAAGGTTGTTATTGCATTTGGTTAAGCCACTAAATAAAGAAATATTAATTTACTATTTTTAAAAATATCCTCCAATACAAACTAAAACGTACCTCTCAATGACGTATTGCCTTTATTTTGCCCAGCACTTCCTAGTTACTGCTGGGTATTGTCCAATCAATTAGTTTTTATAGAAAAGCATCGAGGACAAATCGTGCATGCTGAGCGAACCTCAAAATGAACTTACCCAATGGTTTTCATAAAGAATCATTGGATTTTATGTTGCTGGCAAGGAATAATCATAAAGGAAGGAAGGATCTAAAAGGGACAAACTCTTTGTGTATAACAAAAAGATAAACTATGTACAGAAAAAAATTATATAATTATATGATATTAAAAATTATATAAAAAAAAGTTTAGTGCAATTTACAAACTTCATACCGCACTCTCTTTTATCTTCTACAATCCTAACAAACACAATACCACACTATCTTTACATCGTAAGGCATCATCACATGAAAGGTCTATTCCAGAACAAGTTCACATAGGTGCCTTTATAGTAGTGCCTACCTGGATAGATACAACTGGCAATAAAGTCATACTCAATTTACATCTTTTAATGCACTACTGAGCTCTAATGGTTAGTAATGCATTCTGTTGTAGATTCCAGTCGGTTATTATGTGACACTAGTCACATCCTAAAATGTGTAGCCATACAGTATTTTGTTTAATCAGTATAACAGAGAATATAAGATCAAGGAGGATTTGTAAAAAAAAAGGGAGGCGTGAGGGAGGTTAGATCTATTATCTTCCCCTTGTATGCACTAATGCAGTGCATGCTAAGAACATATCTAATTAATGCACAGAATGGACAGAGTTATGAATTGCCTAAATCATGTGTGCAGGGGGTGCAACTAGCCCTTAGCACACAATTAAGATTATCTAGGTATGTGCAGTGTTTCAAGCTTAAGTGATCATCGTGGTTGGAGTAACCCTTTAATGTGTCACTTTTTATTTCATGTACAGTTACAGGAATTAACAGAAAAAAAAAAATGATGAGTGAGCGCTATAGAATATAACACATACAGTATGGCAGCACTCCACCCCAGTGATACAGAAGTATGCACAAAATACAGATAAACCAAAAAGAGCGCGCTAAACTGATGAATAGAATCTATAGATATAAAAACACATAGAATAGTGCAGACTATCTGTACCAAAATATATAATAGGGGAGGGAGGGGGGGTAGTGGGGAAAAACTCACATTTACCAGAGCCCTATCACCCCTGGCTCTGGGTTTGAAATGCTTGACTGGAGAGGGAAGACTCCCACACTGGTAAAACTCCAAGTAGTAAATTCACTGAAAGCAGGGGCGTACCTAGAGCATTTGGCACCCGGGGCGGATCCTGTGCTTGGCACCCCCCCACCCCCCTCCCCCCAAAAAAAAAACCTGTAAAAATGTTAAAGGTTTTATTTCTTTTATTTTTACAATTTGTAAACTTTGCAAAACCGCTGTCAGCCCCTCCTACAAAACCCTTGTCCTGCCCTGCCCCTCCTACAAAACCTCTGTCCTGCCCCTTCTACAAATCCTGTACTGCCCCATCTACAAAACCCCCGCAACCCCCTTCCACAAATCCCCTGCTTATCCCCCCTTATAAAGACTCCTGTCCCAATACAAAACCCCTACCCCTTCTACAAAATCCCTGCAGCCCCACACACACATTTACAGGCAGACAGTCAGACACTCAGTTACAGACAGACAGTCACACACTCAGTTACAGGCAGACAGTCACACACAATCACAGGCAGACAGTCACACATACACATTTCCTCCGTGCGGCCAGTTTATCAGCTGTTTGCTTGAGTGAGCTGTACTGGCCGCACGGCACCCTAACTACCATGGGACACTGTGCGGCCACAGCTCACACAGCCCCCTCCAGCCAGGGCCGGTACAAGGATTTTTGCCGCCCAAGGCAAAAGTAAAGTTTGCCGCCCCCATGTGACATCACAATGCCCCAGCCATATGATTTGCCATGTTAACTAACGCCAGTGCTGCAGTGCCGCCGTGTTTACATTAAAAGGCCTGCAGGGACAGGCTATAGACACCAGAACCACTACATTAAGCTGAAGTGGTTCTGGGGACTATAGTGTTTCTTTAATGTGAGGTAAATTAGAGCTTAGTGCCACGAATAATATACTAGATTGCCTACTTACAACCAGATGAGGATGATGATGGGCTCTAGCTGCAGTCTGGCTCCACTGGTCTGGTGTAGAACAGGATCTCTGGAGGCTGTTTGTAACTGTGGTCACAAAATCAATGTTCTGGGAGAACGGGAAGCAGCTCCATTTTTGGGGGTCCTTTACACAGCTCAAGGTCTGGGTCCCAGGGTCCACCTTCATGTTCCACCAATGAGTTTGTTCACAGGGGGTGGAGTGTGTAGGGGATGTCCTGATATGTGTGTAAGGAATGCATTGTGTGAAATTGTGTTTGTATGTGTAAGGACTGCAAGGTGTGTTTCTGTGTATGTATGGGATGCATTGAATGTGTGTAAGGGGTGCATTGAGTGTGTGTAATGAATGCATTGTGTGTTTCTGTGTGTGTAAGGGATGCATTGTGTGTAACGGTTGCATTGCTTGTGTATGTGTGTCTGTGTGTTTTTCTGTGTGCAAGGGGTGCATTGTGTGTATGTGATGAATGTCAATCTCTCCTCCCGCTCCAATTTCCTTCTCCTCCTCCCAATTTCTCTTTCTCACCCCCCTCCTTTCTTTCTCACCCACCCCCTTATTTCTCTTTCTCACCCCCCCTTATTTCTCTCTCACCCCCCTTATTTCTTTCTCACCCCCCCTTATTTCTCTCTCACCCCCCCTTATTTCTCTTTCTCAC